TGTTGTAGATTGCCTTCCGTACGATGCATGACGCATCCAGTAAGACTGATGGACTTGTCGCCGACACTTCGGAGGTGAGTACTTCGATGACCGACCTGCTCGGCGCCGCTACCCCGCAGCATATGACTGAACAGTTCAAGGAGCGCGAGCGCGTCATTGCGCGACGCAAACTACCAAGCATTGAGAGACGTGCTGCCGAACTCGAGCGTGAGCTTGGGATCGCGCGCTGGAGTGTGGATAGCGCCGATTCCCTCGCCGTGCAACGAAAGCTCGTCCTCGCCGTGAGGAAGCTCGAGCGTCTTCTTGTCGCGAGGCTACAAGAGCTTTCCAAAGCTCATCTTCGGTGTACTGGTAAGCAAACTGTCTCTCCGACCTGCAGAACGGTCAACTAACAAGAAGCTAGGATACAAGCAACAGAAGCAGCTTGCGAAAGTTATCACCCGGCGCGACATGGCTCTCCGTACCGCTATCAACACTGTAAACCTTCCGCGAGCGATCCACCAACCGGGCTCACAAGAGCTCACATACAAAGAGGTCGTTGAGATGGACTTCTCGGCCGAACTCGACGTCCTCAAGGAGTCTCAGTACGACGTCCTTGCCAAACCGTGGATGGACCGTGACAATTGTGAGGCGCAGACAGCCTATTGAAAGCTCATACTCGCGAAGGAGCTCGACCGTCTTCACCACGAGATACCATGCATGCAAGACTGGATCGAGAAGGAGGACGCGATGTATGCGTCGGGTATAGAACGTCTACGCAGCGCACCCGGGACATTTCGCAGGGGTATTCCTCCGCTGGCCTGGCCGTATATTTTGAGCGCGAAGCGACGTCAGCATTGGAGACAAAAGGCTATCTTTCCTCCCCTCTGCACGGTCTCGCGACTTGCACGCTCGATGTTCCTGTTCGTGCTGGCCCAGTTATAATGGCGTGAACGTTGTTGATATATACAGCATCGAGTTAGGATGAGGGGATACGGAGCTATGAAGCAAGGAAGATTGGATGTTGATGTAGCGTGCATGAGTCAAGAGTCCAAGATGTGTCTGCAGTGTGACAGGGGAGAAGAATGCGAGTCGTGTGAGATGATGGATGAGTGCCGTAAAATACAACCAAGATGCGGGAGGAGAGCAAGATGCGGGAGGAGAGCAAGATGCGGGAGGAGAG